CAGCCCCGACGAGGGGCCACGGAAGGCAGGTGGGGGTTGCCGCTCGCCACCCGCCTCCCCGGGCCATCGTTCACATGTGGCTGCGCCCTGCGCCGCTCGCCGGGAGCCATCTAGTGACAGGGACATTGCAGGGCCACCGCGCAGCCCTGCCGCGCTCCCGTCCCCCTTGCTGGGGAGCTCAGCTCCCCCGCGCGATGCCAACGTGGCCACCGGGGCCACCGGGGCCCTTCCGGATCGGCACCGAGCGCCTCGGGCTCAGCTCGGAGGCAAACGGGTCCCGGGACCGGGTTTCCAGCGCCCCAGGCCACTCTCCTCCGATGGCGCCGTTCCTTAGGAATGAGCATTCAGACAAACAAAACAGGATAGAAAGAACGAGGGGAACGATGACTCTTTAATAAATTAGCCAAATACACAACAGCATTAAAATATGCATATGTTACTTATCGCTGTGTCCCAACAGATACAGGACTTAAATCAGAACCCCTGATTTCCCAGCTGGATGCTCCCGTTGATCCAAAGGCACGTGTCAGCCCGGGCGCCTTCCCCGGCAATGCCTGACGCCACGGTACCCAAAACCTAAAACCACTCAGAAATGAAACATCTCCTTTGTAAGCCAGAGATGCAGCTTCTCGGGAGAAAGGAGTTAAATTACCATATGATTTCTATTAATTTATGTCTCCTTGAAGAAGTGATTAAAAGCAAGAGATCTGCTTTTTGCCCTTTATAAAAAAACGTTACTCCCCCTCAAAGGGAAGGGGGAAAACCCAGGAGGATGTTTAATGCGTTGGAGCGATCATCCCTAGACGGAGAACGGGCAGAATTTGTGATTTTGCAGTCTCTGATTCCCAGGCCCCCCAGCCACTGAACTGATCGGGTATTTTGTGTCGATTGCATCCAAGGAAGGACAAGCAGGGAGCGGCGAGGGCGGCCGCGGCGCTGTCACGCGAGCGGCCTCACTCGTCGTCCCTGACGTACTGCCCGGCCTCCCAGCGCTTGGCCATGTCGCTCTTGTGACGGATCACTCTGGTGCTCTCCACAACCTAACGAAACCAAAACACACATTTTGAAACAAATAAATAAAGAGCTGCATTTCTAAAGGATCTTTCCTTGCAAATCTTTCCCTCCCAGCCAGAAATCCCCAACGTTCAGGTCAGGATGCTCGGAAGCAGCCTCAGCACCTCCTGCCTGCTTTGACCCTCCGCATGGCCACAGCTCTGTGGCCACCTGGCTGCTGCTCCACCAAGTTCAGGCATGGGGAAAACAAGCCAGATTTGGCCCCGTGCCCGTGGCATTTTGCCCCTTTCATCCCAGGACAAGGAGCAGACGCGTCCCCGGGTGCGGAGCCGGCGTCGCTCAGAGCACCGAGTGCGCAAGGGCCGTTACCTCTGTGTTGATCTTGTCAACGGGCTCAATGCCTGCGTACTGTGAAAAGAGGGGGAAGCGCTCAGGGCCGAGCGAGGCGGCAGGGACCCCGCGGGGGAGCTCGGCACGGCAC